ACCTCAATCGAGCCTTGTACTTCGCCTGTGACAACGTCCTGTGGGCTGGAAAGTCTGGACTAGCTCCCCGTGTGGATCAGGAGAAGTGGGCCCAGCGTTCATTCAGGTTTGATATCCTTCTATTCTACAAGACCTTTTACATTCTCCATACTGCATAGCTTGCCTTTTATAAGAGAAAGATTTCTCAGGATCTTCCCAGAATGTACATATCGTAAGAAATCACTTGGCTTCCAATCTTCATTTATATCTTAAGACAAACACTCTTCCATGATGAATGACTTAAGATTGAGCAAGATATTATATAGCTTTAATTTTGCTTCTATCTATACCATAGATCAGTGATTTTCAAACTTTTTCATCTTACAGCACACATAAACTAATTACTAAAATTCTGCAGCACACGAAAAATATATTTTTTGGTGATCTGACAAAATTAGGTATAATTCTGATTCATTCATACCAAACAGCTATTGTTGTGTTGGCTGTTGTAATTGTTTTATTTGACAGTCTAAGGGAAAAGAGGTCAGTGCCCTGACTACATAGTTAGGTATTACATATTTTAAAAATTCTTGCAGCACACTGGTTGAAAATTGCTGCCATAGGTTATGCCCCTCACTTCCGAAAGCTCATGCAGTCATCCTAAAAATATTTAGTAGGTGCTTACTCCAGTGCAGGAAATAAAGCAAACAGCCAAAAAGATATGGTTCCTGCTCTCATGAAGCTTCTAGTCTAGTGGGGTAGTCATATATTAAAATAAACACCAAACCACATATTTGTGGAAACGTATAGGGTGTTATGAGATATATAACAAGAGGAGCTGATTTAGACTGAAAATCAGGAAAGAACTGTTTGAGAAAGTAATATTTTAGTTCAGACCTGAAGTTTGAGTAGAAGTTGGACAAAGCAAGCAGTAGCCAAACAGAAAATAGCATGCTCTAAGGCCTTGAACCAACAAAGACTTTGGGAAATTAGAAAAATAGAAAGAAAGTCAATGTAATGGACAATGTTGAATAAAGGGCATATGTTCAAACTGGAGAGGTGACAGAGATCAAATGATTCATGAAAGGCATTTTTAGACAATGATAAGATATTTTGTTTAGTTTTTAAAAAAAATTTTATCCTCAGTAAAAAGGGTTCTGAATAGGGATGGGACATGATTCAAATTGTATTTAAAAAAGACCTCTCATGCTGCAGTGTGGAAAATGGATTGCAATAGGGCAAAAGAGGAGGAGGTGTCTTAATACAGCCAAGAAATGATGTTGGCTTGGATTAAGGAGCTGGCTAGTAGTGAAGGTGGAGAGAAATATGAGTTGGAAGTAAAATTACATGTATACATATCATCTGTATTTTATTTTACTTTTTGCTATGATTCTCTTTGCTGTTTTAGATTATATTGGCATCTTTTTGTCTCCATATATGTATTGTTTTTCTCTTCATCTTTCTCATTGATTTATAGCTGTAACATGGCATGTGATGTATGAAGGCTAGGGACAGAGGCATGATTGAAGTGGAATGGAAAAACACCTACCTAAAAGAGTCTGTATGCCATGTTTATTCATTCAACAAATATTTATCAAGCTCTTACTGTATTCAGGCACTAATCTAGACACAGGGATACAGTGGTAAAGATAAATAAGGTTCCTGCTTCTATGGAGCTTACATTATAATGGGAGGAGACAGACATAAAGAATAAATAAGAAAAATATCAGATAGTGGCAAATGCTATGCAGGAAATTTAAATAGGGTCATGTGGTAGAAAGTAAATGGCTTGCTACTTTGGAATGTGGGGATCAGAGAAGGCCTCTCTAAAAAGGGGACATTTAAGCTCAGACCCAAAGAACAAGAAAAAGCCAACCATGTGAAGATTTTAGAGGCAGAATATTCCATTCCAGGTAGAGGGATGTGGTATTGTAAAGTTCCTAAAACAGGGATAAGCTTGGTGGGATCAAAATATAGAAAGAAACATGGATGGTACATAGTGATTGAGGGAAGGAGTTGTATATTGTCAAGTTAGGGAGGCAGGGTCGGGTATTGAGGTCTGAAAGGCTGTCTGTCTAAGCCTGAATTATCAAGATTTTATTCTAAATGTGACAGGAAGGAAACCATAAAGAGTTTAAGAAGAGGAGTTTATGCCAGGTGATATATGAAATTAGATTGTTGGGGGCAAGGGGCAAGAGTGGCCAATGGAGAGACAAGTTAAAAGACTAAAGTGGTAGTTCCAGCAAGAGATGATGGTGGCTTATACTACGGAGATGGAGTGTAATAGATGTGTTTAGATTCAGGATGTGTGTTGGAGGTAGGACAATTATATTAAGTACAGACCACTGTTGTGAGATAGATTAAAAATCAGAAACATAGACTGTTCTTAATGAATTTATAATCTAACACATTTGGCAAGCTGCTTAACACCTCTGGGCCTCATTTTTTTTTTTTAATCAAAAGGATTGGATTTACCCTGAGCAGTGTGGCTCAGTTGGTCCAGCATTGCCCCACAAAGCGAAAGACTGGCTCCATTCCCAGGCAGGGCACACATCTAGGTTGCAGGTTCGGTCACCAGTTGGGATGAGTGCAAGAGGCAACCAATTGATGTTTCTATTTCACATCAATGTTTCTCTCCCTCTTTCTCTCCCTCCCTTCGAGAGAGGGGAGGGGGGGGGGAGGGAGGGAGGGAGGGAGAAGGAGAGAGAGAGATTTTTTTTAAAGGATTGAATTTAAATTATTATTTGACTTTTAAACGACTGAAGCTTGTTTTTTTAAGACAAATTTATAAATCTGTAATTCAAGTTGAATATCTGTGTGCTGATGTGTTGCCAAGTGAAATTTGAGGTTGATCTTGGAAGATTTGATGATGCTTATGACTTTTAAACCAGAATCTTAGGATACATATAAATATTTTAGTTATAGAAGGGTCAAGGACATTTCTCATAGTGGGTGGTAGCATTCACTTCTGGTGTTCTAATATGTAATCCTTTGCATTGCGGGGGGAAAAATGTTTGAGTGTCCTGTGGGATATGCTAAGTAGATATATGTGTGCCCTTACTGACCCTTTTGTCCTTTGTATCTCAGGTACTATCTGTTTTCACTCATCATGAATTTGAGCCGTGATGCTTATGAGATTCGCCTACTAATGGAACAAGAGTCTTCAATGTCTAGCCGGCGACAGAAGGGTTCTGGAGGAGGAGTCCCAGGAGGAATTGAAACTTGGGGATCTGAGGTTCCAGGAACTCCAGGAGGAGGCCTGACCCACCTAGCTCTGAAGCTTCAGCTCCAAGTCCTTCTTCTGGCTCGGGTCCTTCGGGGTCATCCTCCCCTTCTGCTGGATGTAGTCAGAAATGCCTGTGATCTCTTCATTCCACTGGACAAACTAGGCCTCTGGCACTGTGGCCCTGGCATTGTGGGATTTTGTGGCCTCGTATCCTCCATCCTGTCTATTCTCACCCTAATCTGCCCTTGGCTACGACTCAAGCCCTGATATTCTGTTAGAGGGTAAGGAGGGGACCTGGATTGGTAAGATGAATCTTAGATAGTTCTCAATATACCAGACTCATCCGAACTCCTTGCTTAAAGTTAAAATGGAGAGATTTAGGGGTAGAGGAAAGAGCTTTGGACTAGATGAGGTGAGGAAAGATTACTTGTGTAGTTAATAGCATGTTTCTGATGTTCAGATCTGCTGGAGCTTTTGTTCTTTTCCTCCTTCATTGCATTGTCTATGTTTCTCTTAATTCTTTTTACTTTGTTTCTCTTAAATCTATTTAAGATTCTGTTCTGTATCTCAGTCCCCTCTCCTAGGAATTTAATCAGCACCAAATTACTTTTTGGTAGGGGAGGTAGAAGGTGTCGCCTGTAAGATTCTAATTGCCTTCTTTTTCCTCACAAAGGTGTCCTGTGACAGGTTTTACTCCCTTCAGACTACAAATCATAATTTTAAAGACTTTGTATCCCAGTGTACTCTTCCTTCATGTACTAGAAGTGGTTTGATGCTTCCTCTTTCCCCCTCATGTCTACCTTACCAACCTCCCTCATGACTTGGCCTTTACCCTTCCTTCTGCTCACGTCTGCAGATTTCTGCTTGCCTTTGATTTCAGGGCTTTGTTCATAGCTTGTTCTTACCCCTTCTTTGCCTATCTAGAATGATGCCATGTCTAATATCTTGATGTAAATATTGTACAATGATTCTGTGTAAATAGTTAGGGCCCATGCCCACAATGGAGAGCAAGCCTTTTAGGTCAGAAAATTAAAGATCAAGTTTGTTCATTGATATTTGGTCTGGTCTTATGTGTTCTTGTCACCCAAGGCCCCTGTTTCTGTCACAGTGGTTCAGATTATCCATGGTATTAGCCACTGCATCATCACCCACAGACTTTTATTGAGCACCTAAATTATGCAGGGCATAATACTAGGTGGTTGAGATGCAATAAGTTTAACTCCATGGTCCCAACCTTAGACATTTATAACCTAGTTGAGAAGATGGAAGTCTAATGTTAAAGTAATTATACTGGTTCCACAAATCACATCCCATCACAGCTCATAGCTTATAGTCCCTCCAAAAACTGTAATGCCACAAGGCAGCATAGGCTAAGGCTTACCAACACAACTAAGTGGAGTGAGCTGGTAAGGCTTAGTCTTTGGGCTGGCTGTCTTCACATGTTGGGACTCTGCTTGGTAGGTGGGGAAATGAAACCACTGTTACTAGTTTTTTTATTTTTTCATATCTCAAGTTGGGATAAATAAGGTTAGGAAATAAAAAGTATTTCTCTCCCATTCCTACTTTCTATTCAAAACTCAAAGAAAGCATTATTGCCTAGAAACAACAAAGGATACGAAAGAGACAGACACAGGCAGACAGACATGAGACCGCAGAAATTCTCTAATTGTGTTCTGTTTGGATAGTGAGATGATGCCTCCAGGGGGCAGCACCAAGGCAGAGAACTAGACTAAGATCACTCAGTCTGTTTCTTCTGGGGCTTCCCACAGTTTCCAACCCTCACTCCTCCCATTTCTTCCAACTTTATTTTTAGCTGGCAGTGGGAGGGGGCAGGATGGGAGGGTAACTAAAGGAAACAGAAAAGGAGAGGGACACAGGCACAGAGGACTTCTTACACGGACAGACAACAACCAGGCATGGAGCTGCCCCTCATCCCTCACCTGTTCTTGTCCCTGATGTTGTTAACAGGTGAGGGAGGTTAACTTCTTGGTTTCTGATGGGAATTGAAGATATATGAATTGTTTGGCATTGGGACCTCAGGGTTAAAATTCCTTGGGAGTTAGGATGGGAGATGAATACTGATTCTCCATTGCTAGTGTGTTTGTGTGTTTCTGTTTATGCATGCATGTCTGCATATTTGCATTCTTATGCCCACTATATGACTGCTTCAGTATTGAGACTGTCAGACCTTGTGTAAGATTTGTGTCCAATTATCTAAAACCTATGTTCTAAGCCCTGGAGAAGTGAGGGGACCAAAAAGTAACATGATGTGACCTTCCACATGGCTAAACTCATTCTTATTATACCCCTCCTTACCTCTCCCTACCCTTGGTGGTCTCTGGGGCCTGGGGCATAACTGACTACCTGTGTGGTCAGAACTCTCTGGGTTTATCTAACCAATAAGGTACCGTTCATAGTCATGTAGCCCTGTCAGTTTCCTGGAGGCAAAAAGGCTCACGTACAAAATACCTCTTTAAAAATGAGCATGGTTTGAGACAGAGCTATAGCCATTGGTGGGCGTGGTAGTGGGGTGGCCTAATTGGGGGATGCTTGAAAGGAACGGGCAAGACACAGTCAGGGAAAGAACCATGGGAGAGAACACAGGCCTGGAATTTTTCCTCATCAGTGCCCTGTAATCTTCATTTCCTAAAATACCAGCTCTGATTTTAAAGGGATAGGAGGGAAGAATCAGCAAAGACATAATTGGGAGGGTCTTTACAATGGCTTGAGAGTTAATGAAAAAATGCAGGCAGGCAGGGGGTAGTTGGGAGGGTGCATGAGTTTAGAAAGGAAGCTGGTTGTAGGAAACTTTAGGGTGAAGGGAACCTTATTAAGGATGAATGGCAAACCATGTGTGTGGGCAGGCGAGTGACTCCACCCGGTTAATTACCACTGAGGTTTTCAGGGCTGGAATCAAACAGACCTAAACATGGAGAATAAGAGTGAATGTGTAACAGTGACACTGGGAATCAGAAAGAAAAAGGAGACCCAGACATTCAGTGTTCCTTCATCTCCTGTTCTCCCCGTGGTCCTGATTTTGGGGAGAATTTGAAAGAAATAGTTGTTCTGGGGCTGCAGTCAGACTCTCTCCCTCTTCTGACCCTCACAGCTTGGGTAGGAGGATGTGTAGAAGGAATGATGTGGAAAAGAGGAACTTGACCCAGACAAGTCTCTAATTGAGATTTCAGGGACTGGAATGGAAATTCAGCTGTGCACTAGCATGGCCAAGGGCCACAGGTTAGAGAGCTGGACCCAAATACAAGAGGATCATCCTTGCTTGGAGCTCTGAGTACATGACATTGACAGAGGCCAAGACAGCTTATGAGTAATAAGCAGAGAGATAGACTGATATCAAAACATTCCATTCACTGCTTCTCTCCGGTGGTACCACTCTGGGCATTCATTAGGCTCTCTGATTGCTTCCTGCTAACCTTATGATCCTGGGCCCTCAGGTCTCTGCTCCCCCTTTAACCTGGATGTGCATCACCCACGCCTATTCCCAGGGCCACCTGAAGCTGAATTTGGATACAGTGTCTTACAACACGTTGGGGGTGGACAGCGATGGTGAGGAGGAAACCAGAGGGCCATGGGGCTGGGACTCTGATAGAGCTATTAAAGGGGAGGCAAGACAGATGGGAATTTAAACTAATCTAGTCTTTGGGAAGTGGCTGGGGCTCTAGATTTGCAACCCCCATGTACTTTTCCTCTGGTCTATCTCAAAGGTCAAGTTCACACTATGTTTATTTATATTCATGTCCTCTCCCAGGATGCTGGTGGGTGCTCCTTGGGATGGGCCTTCAGGTGACCGAAGGGGAGATGTTTACCACTGCCCTGTAGGGGGCTCCCACAATGCCCTATGTGCCAAGGGCCACTTGGGTAAGAAGGTGCCTCACTCTTCCACTCCAAACCCCTAACCTTTATACACTAGTAACTTTGACCCCTTATACCTCACCTTCACCCACACTCCCTGCCCCTGACTTAATTCTGATCTCTTCTCATACTCTTCTAAAATCTACCCGAATTCAAACAAACCATCTGTGATCCCATGATTTCATTTTCTTCCACCCCCCTCCAATCAGGTGACTTTCGACTGGGAAATTCATCTCATCCTGCTGTGAATATGCACTTGGGGATGTCTCTACTAGAGACAGATGGTGATGGAGGATTCATGGTGAGCTAAGGGAAGGGTGGTGGCAGGGTCTCTGAAGATTTGTAGCAGAGAAAAGAACAGTATGTTAAGGGAAACTGGCATATGTGGAGGGGTCAAGGAGTTAAAAAACCCTAGAAAGTAAGGAGGAGAATCTTGGGGAGTGGTTCTCAATGCCTCCTTCTACTCAGAGTGTGATCTGAGGGTGCCCTCCCAACCTGGAAGTAACCATGTCCCCCACCTATCCCCAGGCCTGTGCCCCTCTCTGGTCTCGTGCTTGTGGTTCCTCTGTCTTCAGTTCTGGGATATGCACCCATGTGGATGCTTCATTCCAGCCCCAGGGAAGCCTGGCACCTACTGCACAACGTAAGCCAGAAGGATCTGAGGATTCAGTCCTCAGAATGGGGTGCATGGTGGGGAAAAAGATGGGGCACCAAGGTATGATGCTTGACAGGAAGTCTGAATCCTCATTGCTACCTAATGTACCTGCATAAGCTCTATGTTTCCTAACAGATTAAAATTCAAACTCAGCCAGGGCATTAAGACTCCAGGAACTTATCAAACCAACTTTAAAATCTCAACTTTCACGATATCCCTCCACACCCTAGGCTACAGCATTTACTTCACCTTTCTCCAATGTATCATCTATTTTATACCTTCATCTCCTTTTATTTACCATGTTCTCCACCCTTTTCTTATATTCTAATCTCTTCAAATATCTTCATTCTTCAATATTTTCTCAGTTGCTGCCTCCTTTGATTGACTGCCCACCATCAGAACTAACCCTCTTTTGTTCTCCCGCAGCATAGAGTGGTGCTATGTTTCTGCCTAGTGCTTACTTCTTTATATATTTATTGTTTTTTAGTAAATTGCATGTATGTCCATCTCTTCTTTTATTTATTTCTACACTTACCAGGTGCCTAGTATACTACCTTCTTTGCATGTCAGAAGTGCCTAATAAATGTTTAAATTGAGTGTGTCCCCTTGTGACCTCTTGTTGCCTTCATGCTCAATATCCTGTATCCCTCTGCTCTCCATCACCATACCCCTCCTCCTAGGCTGTCCTACATACATGGATGTTGTCATAGTCTTGGATGGCTCCAACAGCATCTACCCCTGGTTTGAAGTTCAGACTTTCCTGCGAAGACTGGTAGGAAGACTGTTTATTGACCCAGAGCAGATACAGGTAAGAGAAACAGTAAGGATTGGCTTCAAGGCAAGAGACAGGAAGAGAGGAGATAAATGTAGGTAGTGTTGCCCTGGCCGGTGGCTTCGTTGTTTGGAGCGTCAACCTGTAAACCAGAAATGTTGTGGGTTCGATTCCCAATCAGGGCACATACCTAGGTTGCAGGTTTAATCCTAGTCCAGGCCTGTACAGGAGGCAACCAGTCTATGCCCCGCCCGCACCTTCTTTCCTTTCTCTCCAGAATCAATGAACATATCCTCATGAGGATTTAAAAAAAAATTTTAAATGTAGATACTGTCTTCAGTAGTATCCAGATATTCATCTTCCTTCTCTCACATACTATCTTCTCCCTCTCCACCTTCCTGCACACATTTCATTTGACTATATACTTTGTTCTCAGGTGGGCCTGATACAGTATGGTGAGACCCCTATACATGAGTGGTCCCTGGGAGATTTCCGAACCAAAGAAGAAGTGGTGAGAGCAGCAAGAAACCTGAGTCGGCGGGAAGGCCGAGAAACAAAGACTGCCCAAGCAGTAATGGTGGCCTGGTGAGGCACTGGGAGAAGGGCATGTGGAAGGCCGAGTGAGGAAGGCCTGGAAAGGTTAGGGGAGGGTTTGGAGTACAGTGTGTACTTCTCAAGATGTGTTGCATGCTTCACAGATGTGAACACTAATGGTAGGGGGGGAAAAGCTAAATTGGCTGTCATTGCACTCCCTCTCATCACATTTCTACAAAATACATATGTCTGTATCTCTCCATATTTCTGCTTTACTTCTCTGCAGACAGAACTATCTCTCTCTCTCTTTCTCCTTCCATTCCCACTTTGATCTTGGTCCTCAGGTTCTCTACCACTCAAGTCAGGTCCCAGTTCCCTTCCCAAACACAATTTAAACTCATTCTGGGGAAGACTAGCCTGACCTGACTGTTCTTCTTTGTTGTACATTCCCTTAATATTTCTCCTCCCAAATGTACTATTTGCTAAATTAATCTAGAAATGAATGAATTTTATACTTATTGTATTGATGATATGCTGCTCTATATGTTCTAAGCCATTCAAGCATTTAAGCTCTTATTGTGTACCTGTCTCCATGCTAGGTGCTGTAGGGGAGATGGTCTAAAAGGCAAGATGCCTGACTCGGTGAACTGCTGATGATGTCAGGTCATGTGCATGTGTATCCGTGCATCTGATCACACCTCCTTTCTTTTCTCAGCACAGAAGGATTCAGTCAGTCCCGTGGGGGCCGACCAGAGGCTGCCAGGCTACTGGTGGTTGTCACTGACGGAGAATCACATGACAGAGAGGAGCTTCCTGCAGCACTGAAGGCCTGTGAAGCTGGAAGAGTGACACGCTATGGGATTGCGGTGAGATCTGGAAGACCTGGAAGAATGGAGGGAGTGGGGATGGTGACATTGAGGACTGGGAACTTGAGAAAAACAGGCATGAACCACTTCCCAGATATCAGCCACATTTCCCTTCCTTCATTTTAGTTGGCTGTGTTCTGTACCAGCTCTAACATCTCACTCCACACAGCTAACAGACTGCACCTTGATCTCTCCTGACCCCAGGTCCTCGGTCATTACCTCCGGCGGCAACGAGATCCCAGCTCTTTCTTACGGGAAATCAGAGCTATTGCGAGTGATCCAGATGAAAGATTCTTTTTCAATGTGACAGATGAAGCTGCACTGACCGACATTGTGGATGCATTAGGAGACCGGATTTTTGGTCTTGAGGGTAATGATTACCCTTGAAAAAATGGAGGATGGGATAGGGGAAGTTCTGGAGTATAGGTGAGGTTTTGGAATGAGTTCAGTAGGTCAAAGGGGGAGCTGTCTTCCCTGATATTGCCTCAATATTTTCTCATGCTCAAGGGTCTCATGGAGAAAATGAAAGCTCCTTTGGCCTGGAAATGTCTCAGATTGGTTTCTCTACTCATCGGCTAAAGGTTGGACAGTCCCCTCTATGACCCCCTCAACCTCTGACTCCTTTCAACCTCTGACTCAGACAACTTCAATCCCAGGGATTTTCTATACTCCCCCTTTAACCAATGTCCATCCTGACCTGCTCATGTCTTTAAAACTGACCCCAGCATACCCTCAGTGACCCTGTTACTCCTGGAGAGTTTTCTTTTTATTCCCCACTGTCTTTTCAGTGATCCTATCTGATTCTTCCCTACAGGATGGGATTCTCTTTGGGATGGTGGGAGCCTATGACTGGGGGGGGTCAGTGTTATTATGGCTTGAAGAAGGTCACCGCTTTTTCCCTCCACGGACGGCTCTGGAAGATGAGTTCCCCTCTGCATTGCAGAACCATGCAGCCTACCTGGGTGAGTAGCAGAGAGCTGTAGAGGATTGGAAGTTGAGGGAATGCTCCCTCCATGTGGGGTATGAGGTATTTCCTTTTAACTTTTGCAGCTTTTCACTGATCTCTTGCTACTCTCCTTGGGACCTCTTCCTATGCCTTTAGGAAACCATCCTACTCTGACCCCATCTTCTTTTCCTTTCACCCCTGATTCCTTGCCCACTTCTAGGTTACTCTGTTTCCTCCATGATTTTGCGGGGTGGACGACGCCTCTTTCTCTCAGGGGCCCCTCGGTTTAGACATCGAGGAAAGGTCATCGCCTTCCAACTTAAGAGAGATGGGACTGTGAGGGTCGCCCAGAGCCTCCAAGGGGAACAGGTAGGGCGGGTGGATGGCAGTCAAGGGAGGATGGGACCCTTGGATTCCAAAGGAAATTTAGCCTGTAGGGGAAGAGAGTGAAGGTGCAGGAGAAAGGCTTGAAAAGTTTGTGCTGAGTTCTGGTTGGCAGAGCCTGTTAGGGCTGTGAGGACCAAATTGAAAGGATGATGGGTGCTTCCCACTTGTTCACAATCACCTTCCGTTTTGTCTCGGTTCCCTACTTCCCACTACTCCCTAGATTGGCTCATACTTTGGCAGTGAACTCTGCCCATTGGATACGGACAGGGACGGAACAACTGATGTCTTACTTGTGGCTGCTCCCATGTTCCTGGGACCCCAGAACAAGGAGACAGGGCGTGTTTATGTTTATCTGGTGGGTCAGGTGAGGCTTGCTGGGATCCTCCAGAACATATTTTGCAGGGGATGGAGGGAAGGAGGAAAGGAAGGCACATACATTTGAGTGCTGGCTGAAAGGTTGGGACTATCAGATCAGCATCTCTCTTCTCATCTCCACCAGCAGTCCTTGCTAACACTCCAGGGAACACTTCAGCCAGAACCCCCCCAGGATGCTCGATTTGGCTTTGCCATGGGTGCCCTTCCTGATCTGAATCAAGATGGTTTTGCTGATGTGGCTGTGGGGGCACCCCTGGAGGATGGGCACCATGGAGCCCTGTACCTATATCATGGGACCCAGAGTGGAGTCAGGCCCCATCCTGCACAGGTCAGGAGTGCGCAAAGCAGAGGCATGCAGTTTCTCACTGATCTCCTGCTATTGTCCTTGGGACCTCTTCCTATGCATGGGGCATGGTGGGAAGAAGGGAAAGGGAGATGTGTTCTTTGCTTATCAATGCTCCCCTGGACTTGAGAGCCAAACTGAACGAATGCTTTTTTAAGTTAGTACAGAATTCCCCCACTTACCCACAGGGGATACATTCCAAGACCCCCAGATGATGCCTGAAACTGCAGATAGTACCAAACTTTATATACACTATTTCATATGTTCGTCCCTATACCTACATACCTATGATAAAATTTAATTTATAAATTAGGTACAGTAAGAGATTAACAACAACAATTAAATAGAACAATTACATAAAATAAAAGTTATGTGAATGTGGCATTATTAAATTAAAAAAGGGTTACTTGAACACTTCAACTATTGATCTGATACTTCAACTATTGATTTGATAGCAAAGATAGCTATTAAATGACTAATAGCAGGTAGTATATATAGTGTGGATACATTGGACAAAGGGATGATTCATGTCCCAGGTAGGACAGAGTGGGGTGGCTTAGGATCCCATCCCACTACTCAGAATGGCACACAGTTTAAAACTTAAGAATTGTTCATTTCTGGAATTTTTCATTAAATATTTTCAGACCATGGGTGACTATGGGAAACAGTGGAAAGTGAAACCATGGATAAAGGGGGCAATTACTGGCTTAAAAAATGAGGTAGTGGGGTAGGATAGAGGTTGCTAGGGACCCCTGAACACAGGCAAGATTCTCATATTCCTTCCCATGCCTGATGAAAGAATTAAGAGCCAGATGGGAAGCCTGGGAAACCAGGTGTGTGAGTCTCTGCTCAGTCTCCCCTCTCTTCCTTTCAGCGGATTGCTGCTATCTCCATGCCACGGGCCCTCAGCTACTTTGGTCGAAGTGTAGATGGCCGGTTAGATCTGGATGGAGATGACCTGGTAGATGTAGCTGTGGGTGCTCAAGGGGCAGCCGTCCTGCTCAGGTGAATGGTCCCATCTCAGGTAACAGTGAACAGCATAGCATAGCTGTTAAAAGCAAGGGATTTAGAGTCTAAGGCTTAGGTTTGGATTTCTTGGTCAATTTAATCTGTGTCTCCATTTCCTAACTTTCAAATGGGAATAAGAATAGTACCTACCTTATAGGCTTATTTTGAGGATTAAATGAGATAATTCATGTAAAGATCTTAACACAGTGACTAGCACATAGAAAGTACCTATTAAATGTTAGCTCTTATCTTACTTCTGTCAGAAGGTTATGGTGAGGGTGACACCTGTACACCTACCCTGTCATTCCTTCCTTTGACCTCAAGGAGACAAACACTGGGAATGGCCTTTCTCAAGGGCATTCTTCCTACAGCTAGAAGTTCTTTCCCACCCTGTTCCTAGCTCCCGGCCCATTGTTCACCTGGCTCCTTCACTGGCTGTGACTCCGCCGGCCATCAGTGTGGTTCAGAGAGACTGCATGCGTAGAGGCCAGAAGGCAGCCTGCCTCTCTGCAGCCCTTTGCTTCCAAGTGACCTCCCGTACTTCTGGTCATTGGGATCACCGATTCTGTAAGTGACTATAGTGGATCCTAGGTAAATCGCAACCCCTTGCCTGCCTTGGTCTCTGGATCTTCTTTGCCTTTACTCTTGCTTGTCCCATTCAGATATGCAGTTCACAGCATCACTGGATGAGTGGACAGCAGGGGCCCGTGCAGCATTTGATGGCTCTGGCCAGAGGCTGTCCCCTAGACAGCTCCAGCTCAATGTGGGGAATGCTACTTGTGAGCAGCTGTACTTCCATGTGCTGGTGAGGAGGGAGTAGGAACCACTTTGCATCAGGGCCTGGGAGTGAGGAGATGGCCATTTCAGAGGAGGAATTTCTGCTGGATTTTTAGAAATTCACACTTTGAAGTCAGGCTGATCTAGGTTTGAATCCTAACCCTACCATTTACCATCTGCACAATCTGGAAAGTCATAGGCTACAAACCACAGTTTCCTTGCCTGCAAAGGCAGGGGATAATCATAACTGCAAGGTAGAAATTGTATTAGAAGTAAATGTGATAGTATTAATAAAACTTTAGGACAGTGCTCAGCACACAGAAAGTACTAAGAAAGAAAGGAAGGAAGGGAGAAAGAAAGAAAAAAGAAAGAAAGAAGGAAAGAAAAGAAAGAAAAAAAAAAGTGCTCAGTAAATGATCATTATAATGATCACATTCTGCCAGAAGCCTGGGTGGTACCACTAACCCTGGCTCTCCATGATCCTTGACTCTGGTTTCCCTTAGGACACATCAGATTATCTCCGGCCAGTGGCCTTGACTGTGACCTTTGCTTTGGACAACACCACAAAGCCAGGGCCTGTGCTGGATGAGGGTTCACCCACCTCTATACAAAAACTGGTCAGCCCTGAAAAAAGCCCTGCCTGCCCTGCCCCTGGGTGAATTCAAGAAAAATGAGGGGGAGGAGACCTGAGATCACAATGAAATCTGACCCGGGCACTCACTCTTTTCTTTTCAGTTTTCTCCCAATTGCATTCCTTTCTCCTTGCTTTTGCTCCCCTCCAGGTCCCCTTCTCAAAGGACTGTGGCCCTGACAATGAATGTGTCACAGACTTGGTGCTTCGAGCTAACATGGACATCAGAGGCTCCAGGTAGGATGGGCATGAACTGGCCAAACCACGGTGAACTGAGCCAGACTGGAAGGGACTAGAAGGGAGCTAGAAGGTTGTTCCCGCCCCAGGACAATAGAAGTGAGACTTTTGTCATTCCTTCAATTCCTGAGTTCTCCCTTATCCACAACTCCTAGGAAGGACCCATTCGTGGTTCAAGGTGGTCGGCAGAAAGTGCTGGTGTCAGCAGCACTGGAGAACAGGAAGGAAAATGCCTACAACACTAGCCTGAGCCTCAGCTTCTCTAGAAACCTCCACCTAGCCAGTTTCACTCCTCAGGTGCCCTTGGGGGAAGGGTTTTGGGAGGAGGTGGAGAAGAAGGAGAAATAAGATTGGGGTATTATTCTCAGCTGTAAGGGGTCTCTAGAGAAAGGCACAGGGTTTAGAGGCTGCGGGCAGGAAAGCAGTTGCAATCTCAGCTCCAGCCTTCACCTCTATTTCTCTGCTCTCAGAGGGACAGGCCAGTGAAGGTGGAATGCACAGCTCCTTCTCCTCATGCCCGTCTCTGCAGCATAGGACATCCCGTCTTTCAGACTGGAGCCAAGGTAAGTTGGGGCCCAGGATGAGAAAGGAGCTCTGTAAGAGAGCAGGAGCTGGAATCAGGAGGGTTTGGGAGCTTAGAGAAGGAGACACACAAGGGCTCCTGTTCCTTTGTAGTTGCCCCATGAATAGGAATCTACCATGACCCCATGTCCCCTGCCTGCAGGTGACCTTTCTGCTAGAATTTGAGTTTAGCTGCTCCTCCCTCCTGAGCCAGGTTTTTGTGAAGCTGACTGCCACCAGGTGAGAACAAGGGGAACTGCCTCCCAGCCCTCTTCTATTGGGTCTTGGTGGTGTGGTGGCATCTGTGTTGGGGTAGGAGGGGATAGCACTGACTCCTCTACTCCAGAAAAAGTTATCTAAGACAGTATGTGAGCGTCTCTCCCATGACCCTACAGTACTAGCTTGGAGAGAAATGGAACCCTTCAAGATAACACAGCCCAGACCTCAGCCTACATCCGATATGAACCTCATCTCCTCTTCTCTAGGTATGGTTCTGTTCTCCTTTGGGACTCCCCAACTCTGTTCTGACCCCATATGCATACTCTTTATGCTTCCACCTCTCCCTCCATGTGCTTCAGTGTTTCCCAAAACCCAAACCCTTGGGGCTGCTCCATCTTTTTGCCCTCGATTCCACTCATGAGAAACCATCTCTTTTAAGCATCTTACTTTCTTCCTAGGTATGGGGCTTTGCTGGGCCCTGAGGATTGGAGTGGGGTTAAGGGAATGTGGAATGTGCCCATAAAGTTTGTTAATTTGAGCTGTATCCCATTTCTATATTCTCTATGTACCCCCATCTCTTTATCTGTGTGCTGGCTCAGCCTTCCCTGAATCTATAGGGTCTGGCAGAAGTAATACCTGCTTGAGTATGGTTGGTAAGGTAATAATATGGGTGTAGTCATTTAAGTTTTAATTTGAACATTTCACTTAAAATGTCAGATGGTATGCTTGAGTGTGATATTGTTATGTTACAGAATTACATGTTTATGATTTTGTAGTAAAAAAGGGATGTTATTTGTGCTGGACCCTGTATGTATGTATGTATGCTGACCACATGCCCCTTTGTGTCATGGCTGTGATCATGTACTTCCTGACTTGGTGTCCATGCAGCGAGTCCACTCTGCACCGCTATGAGGTTCACCCGCATGGGACTCTGCCATTGGGTCCTGGCCCCGAATTCAAAACCACTCTTAGGGTAAGAAGCTGGAGGGACCTTGGCATGAGCAGGGGGAAGGGGAGGAGTCCTGGGAAAAGAATGGAAGAGTCTTTCTAGATTTCAATGGTATCTAGAATAATGGGGAACAGGTGAAGAAGGGTCTTCTGTCTCCTGCCTCTTCCCATTTCTAATTCTCCTATCAGGTTCAGAACCTTGGCTGCTATATGGTCAGTGGCCTCGTCATTTCAGCCTTCCTTCCAGCTGTGGCCCATGGGGGCAATTACTTCTTGTCACTGTCTCAAGTCATCTTTAACAATGTGAGTCGGGCCAAGGGTATATGGAGCCCTCCCACCTTAATCTGGTGGACTCACCAGTTCCTTATCTGCTGCATCACTGCTTTCAGGGCTCCTCCTCCTGGGGCACTTTTTTTTTTACATATGTGGCTTCTTTGATTAGAAAGGGATTACCCCACCACAAGAGTATAGGTAGTATGCTACTGCTGAGCCTGGAGTAGCTGGCCTCCCACCATCAACGGTGTCCCTCAAGTCTGATCTTCCTCTAGGCAAGCTGTACAGTTCAGAACCTGACTGAGCCCTCAGGGCCCCCTGTACATCCAGAGGAGCTTCAGCACACAAACAGACTGGTATGAGTCATAAGACTGTGAAAAATGTCCAGAATGGAAACAAGAGAGCTTGGAGCCTTGGGATTGAGGGTACAGCCCTAAGTGGTAAGTGGGGGAATCCTTCCATCCCAGGTCCTGATCTGCCTCTCTCTCCTGGTAGAATGGGAGCAATACTCAGTGTCAGGTTGTGAGGTGCCACCTTGGGCGGATCGCAAAAGGGACCGAGGTCTCTGTTGGACTACTGAGACTGGTTCACAATGAATTTTTCCAGAGGGTAAACCTTTCATTTTCTACTACTCTCCCCTTCTACTTCTATCTGGAACTTGAGCAGAGGCTTTGGAGGTGAACAGACCTGTGTTCAATTTCCACTTTACCTCTTACTAGGCTGTTGGACCTTGAGCAAATTATTTCATCTATCTAAGCTTCTTTCTTCTCAGATCTAAAATGGGAATGATAATACCTACTTTCAGGAGTTGTTATAAAGAATAAATGAATAATGAGATGGACTCATTAAAAGCTAGCTATTGTCCTCCATTTATCATCCCTTAGTACTATACCAATAATCAATCAACATTGTTAGGATGCCTAGATTCAATCAATTCATAATTCATCAAGTGCTTACTATATAAAAGGTCCTGTACTACGAGACACTGGTGAGAAAATCCCTAACGTTTAGCACCATGTTTAACTCATTGTAGTCACTTAATACACTTTTGTTAAATGAATGAACAAATAGTTGATATTACATGCGGAATATATATTGTGGGTTATCAGAAATAAGATTATATAGTTGAGAGGAATCTAGATTATGAAAGTTTTCTAAAGCTAGGGAGGTAAAATTGAACTTAACATGGTTGGCAGTTAGGAGTCATTGTGAATTCCTGAGAAGGGAAATGACATCTTAATTATAACAGTTGCACTTAGTACTAGGGGTTTTTACTCTATATCCCCATATACCATCCACTTTGATAAACACAATATCCCTGGGATATAGGCATATATTTTAGGGAAGTTAACTCTGACAGATCATTCCTCTCTAAGTCTGCTTATCTCTTTGGTATCCTGTTTTTCATTCATTCATCTATTAATAAAGATTTATTGAGAAACTACAAGGTATTTGGCATTGTGCTATGTACTAGACACTAGAGACACATAATTAATAAGAAATAGGCCTTGACCTCAATGATCTTATAATTCAGTGGTGAAAGACAGAAAAGTAAACAGAGTATTATAACCTTATCAGGGTGGTGGGGGTAGGAGGAAACACTTTCCTAATTCCCAGAAGAGATGACATCTAAACATCAACCTAAAAGAAGGGTAGAGGTTAGTCAAAGAAAAGGAAGTTGAATGCATTTCAGGTAGACCAAATGGCACAATGAAGGACTGGTGGCTTTTCATCCATTGCCCTTCTTCTCTTTCCCCCTTGGTCTCCTACTTTTTCTTCTAATCTTGAAGGTCCTGAAAGTGTCTCTCAGCCTCGTCTTTGCTGTTGGGGTTTCAATTGCCACACTACCTGATGATGGCTCACTTTAAATGTCTTCACATCCACTTGTTCCACAGGCCAAATTCAAGTCTCTGACCGTGGTCAGCACCTTTGAGCTGGGAATTGAGGAGAACAGCATCCTACAGCTAACTGAAGCTTCCCGTTGGAGTGAGGTGGGGCTGGAGGCTGAGTTTGAGAGCTATGAAAATACTAAGGGTGGGGATGGGGTAAGGACACCTGTGGGCTTTTTTCAGAACAGAAATGTCTTTATTAGGCAGAAATCAGGGAGTCAGAAGTGATAAATCAGAATGGTAGGGTCCCAGGGAGATAAATGGTAATGGAAAAAATACAATAAAAAATGAACTATTAAAAAAAAGAATGCTAGCATCTCACTGCCTCAATTCTTGCCTCAGCTTCATTCCTTTTAGTCTTCTGTTTTGAGGCTGGTTTTGCTATAATGTGCAGTGAGGCTAGCTGGGTGAAAGGGTGCAGGTAAAAATCAATTTTCCCCATATAGAGCCTCCTGGAAGTGATCCAGACCCGTCCTGTCCTTATCTCCCTGTGGATCCTTACTGGCAGTGTGCTGGGAGGGCTGCTACTGCTTGCTTTTCTTGTCTTCTGCCTTTGGAAGGTAAGCTTTGGAAGGTAAGCACAGCCAGCTTTAGTTAGAAGTATGGGCATGATACCCACGAGTTGAGGGATCCTTGGTTATAGCAAAGAAAACAGAGTTTGTGCTGGGTGTCATGCCTAAATCTCCTTCTCTGTACTCTACAAATATTGTTTGAATTAAACTAAGCCAAATAAAATAAATTTGAACCTCATGTTTGGAAGCAGAACAAAAGTGAAAACTTCAGATATGTCTGAGGGCTGTTGGCAAGGTCCCCAGGGAGGGCATTTGACAATAACTCTTATCTCTTTCCCTACAGCTTGGCTTCTTTGCCCGTAAAAAGATCCCGGAGAAAGGAAAAAGAGAAGAGAAATTGGAACAATGAATGTACAATAAAGTCTAAGAAAGTCCTCCCTGGAAGCATCTCCAAAAGACTTGCAAAAGAGTGGAGGGTTGAGGACTCAGAGGGGATAACAATAAGTCTCTGGATTGTCTCCCCAGACCTGAACCCTGACTTGACTTTTGAGTCATGAGGAAGCTGCTGGCAAGAGATGAGGCCTTACCTCAGACAAGAAAGGCTAGCACACAAACTAGGAACACTCCCACTGCCTGCTTTCCTCCTCATGATCCTGGTTCCACAGCCAACACTGGGGCCTTTCTCCCTATCCTCAGGAATCAAAATTTTTTTGTCTAGGTCCCTGACTCCTTTCAGATTCCCTCTACATCTGGAAAAGATGACCGTTATCTTCCTCTATTCCCAGCCTCTCACTTTCCTGTCTGCTCCCCACTCCACAGGAGGGAGCTGACGTTGGCTTGTAAGAAGTAAAGTCAACATCTGCTGCTTTCCTCTGGAGTCTGGCCTTTCAGAAAGCCAGTTGGGGAGAGTCAACAGGAAAAGAGGAGGGAGCAGGAAAAGCCACAAGAGACATTCTGTACAATTCCAAGAAACAGAGAAGCCTTTACACAGGCAGCTTCCATCCCCCTTGAAACCTGAGACTTCATGGTGCACTCCCCCGCCCCCAGGTGCTGGTGAAACAAAGCTGCCTCTGGCTTGCTGGGTATGGGTTTTCCAACTCCCACCGTTCCCTGGGAGCAAAGCCAGGTGCCTGATTCTCTGGAGCCAGGGGCCCCCAGGTGGCTACAACTGGAATAGCAAAGAAGACTAGGTAGCAGTATTTCCTTCTCTCTGGCCTCACACACTCCTGAGCCCTCTACATACTACAGAGAAGGGAAACCATTGCTGCTTGATGGTGGGACACCCTTTCACCTTATCAGCTTTGGGAAGAAGCAGCTCCATGGAGTCAGAATGAATGGGGCCTGGTTTAAGGAGGAAGCTGAAATGAGTGGTAGGAGGTCTCTGGGGAACAAGCCCTTCCTTGCTCAGCCCTAGTTGGTTGGTTAGCACAAAACACTCCTAGGAAAATGTTTCTAGGGTAACTTTAGTCATACTTTGCAGGGCTTCTCTGTTGGAATCACTTTTCTATCCACTGCCTGACATTTACTAGATATCCTCAAGTTAATTTCTATTTCTGGATTACGCCCACCTCCCTCCCATTTTTTTTATCATGACCAGTTAAGGGAATTGGATTCTCATCAACAAGTGGGTAACTTACATCTCTTTGTAATCAAGACATTGGATGGAGTGCCTCTCCCACTTAGACCTGAGAAGAGAGACCTGATCAGGCATTTGACTAGCAGACACAGAACCTGCCTCCAGGGTGGTTCCTGAGGCCCACAATATATATTTTGGCATGTTTCTGGTCCTTGTCTGGCATTGTCTCTGTTTCCCAGCACTGTGGACAATGTATCAGATGGCCAGAACAAATAAAGTTCAGTGTCAAATGACTTCTGGCTCTATTTGAGTTCCCCAGGATATGAACTCCTCAGGAATGGTGAGAGGTGATCCTTGGATCCCCTGAGGTGAGACCTTATATGATGAGTCCCTGGAAGGTACAGCTATGAGATATTTGAAGTGTTTCCTGTGACTCACCCACTGAAGCTGTGCTCTAACCTCCTGTATAAAATGTGTAGGTTTCATAAGTACATAGGTCTAGATTGAAACCCTAGGTCTGCCATTTATTAGCTGTGTGGCCTTGAGCAAGTCATAACTACCCCAAGGCTTAGATAGCAACAATAGGCTGTGTGTAATAGTAGATAAGAAAGAAAAGAGACTTGGATTTAATCTAAGCTATACTACTTAAAACTTGTTTGACTTTGAACAGATTTAACTTCTCTAAGTCTTGGCTTTCTTGACTTTAAACTTATTAGGGTTGTGAGGACTAAATTAGATAATTCAAGTAAAGTGAACGTATGATAAGTCCTCATAAATGATCACTGTTGTTATGGAAATATTTTGTTATTAAATAATCTACCCTACTATGTGTTGTGAAGATAGAATGAGAGGTATACTAAAGCACCAGGTAATGCTCTTGGTCTAGCAACTCACTTCACCTTTATAGACCCTGAACATTTGTTTCTTCTAGGTGTTGTCTCCTCCCACTAACTTACCCTGCTCATTCTGTTTGAAATAAGCTGTCATACCCACTAAGGTGTTAATTAACTTGAGGTTGTAATGATAGAAATCAAACCTATTTTATCTCTTTAGACACCAAGGGTTCTTCTAGTACTCTCAAGGAATATGTGCACCTCAGCAATGGCCTTCTAGAGACCATGTTTCTGCCTCTGTTACCTGACTCTGAGAATGATGGCCTACCTGGCCTATTAGGCAGGAACTATTTTGTGGCAAGCTAGTGAGTTATTTTGTGGCAGGAGGAGTCCATGGTGGCCCTCAGTGCACTTCATATAGGCAATAGCTTAATCGACCTTTATTATGGAGCATACTGTTTATGGGGCTGGAACTGAAGCCATGGTCATAATCCTTGAGGACTGGTTCATGTAACTCTTTACCCATGTGATTAAAAGAGCACTTTTAGTATTCTTACTCATCTAGAGATCCCTCTCCTCTCTATCCCTCAGTTTCAGAGTGGGACCTTTTTGGTTTTTTCCCCAAGAATGGGACTTTCTCTTACTCCAACCTATTCTTCAAATAAGCCTGTTTTGTCACCTTTTCCTTTGGAGCAAAGCCAGTTTGAGGAACACCTGTAGAAACAACAGGCTCTCTCCACACATACCTATATTCTTTCCTTTTTTCTCATTGTTGCACCTTCATTTCTTCAATCATTCATTCACTCTTTCACTCATTCACTCATCAGACATTAAGCACCTAATATGTGTCAGGCAATGAGAATAATATAAAATACAACTCCTACCATCAAATAACCCAGTTTAGTAGGGAAAGCAGACATAAGCAAATACAGAGAGGTGGTTGCTATATGATATAGCAGAATTAGAATTGTATCACACAATTTGGCACACTTTTTTGATGTGTGTTTGTGGCAGGGAGGGTGGTGGCAGCATTGTAATGGAAAACTTTACAGGAACCCCCCCCCCCCCCCCCCCCAAAATACATGTGGCTTCGGGGACCAAGTGTGAGAGGAGGCATTCCTGGTAGGATTACTGGTAATCACCAGACTGGAAGGAAATTGTAGTAGATTAGAATATTTTGAGCCATCAGCTGTGAAAGCCCTGAGAGATGAGTCAGCTGTGAAAGCAGTGGGAGATGAGACCGGAGAGGACAGGGTGCAGCTCCTGGTGAGCCTTATAAACCACGTTAAGCATTTTCAGCTGTATCCAGTGGGCTTTCTTATGCGTATGAGTGGGCTTGCTCTGGCTGCCAGGTGGAGAAATGAGAGATCGATAGACCAGTTGGCTGGGGCTGACTGTTCAAGCCAGAACTGGTGATTTTGAATTTAGAGTAGAAATTGTGTTTGTTTTTTAAAGAAGGGAGGGAGGTGTGCTTAAAATAATTCTCTCCTCTCCCTCTGCCTTTTCTAATTTACAGGTTCTTTAGAAGGTTAAACCTGATACCCTTTCCCTCAATTTTAGTTCCTCAAGTTTCGGCGTGTCATGCACCACTCACACTAGTTTCCTCCCATCTCCAAACTGTTCTCTTCAAATCCTCTTTTGTGCCTGGTTTTTGACTGGTGAATAGGGGAGGAAGTAGAGGTAACTAAGTTGACCAAAGGTTTCTGGATATAATGAAAGCGTCGCCGCCAGTGCTTAAACGCGGTAGTTGGCAAAAACCGGGCGCAGGGGGAGAAGCCAGGCCTGCCTGCCTCCTGCAGCGGCTCTAGGAAGAGCGGGGCTGAGGCGCGTCTGGGGTGGGGCTGCCGCCTGAACCTGAGGAGAGGGGCGGGGCCAGAGGCGGAGTTTTAACCGAAGCCGGTCGGGTACACTAGACTATTGAGCAGGTCGGAGCAGGGGGCGGGTTCGATTTGGGAAAGCGGAGTTTGAGACTGAGCTCAAGTCGCAGTCAGACCGCCGGCTTTTCGTCTTTCTGTAGGCGAAGTGGGGCAGGGCCAGGGGCGGAGTTTTAAGCCCAGTCCCCGGGTTCTTGACTCGGGTTGAGCAGGGCCGGGCCTGGGGGCGGGTCCGGCATTGCTTTTGACAGCTTTCTCTTTGCACAGCTGCAACTGAGTTCGGTGGGTTCGGACATCTGTGGCCTCTCTCTCTCTGCGCGTCCCCTCCCCTCACCCCCAAACCTCCAACCCGTGGCTCTGGCCCTGGCCATGAAGCGCATCTTCTCCTGCTCCAGCTCACAGGTGGCGGTAGGTGCCAAAATGTCTGGGAGGATGGGCATGGGGCTAGGGCCCAAGCCCTGTGGTGACAGAAATCCTGACTCCAACCGCCGTGCACCCTTTGCCTTTTCTCTTTATCGGTCTTTCCAGTTCTTCCGCCCCTGCAATGCAGCCCGCCAGTCCTGCCTTCCTCAAGACCCTGTTCCCCAGACTCTGGCCAACCTCGGACCTCCCCAAGGTTTTTCCCTTGGCCCTTCCTTGTCCTCCTATCATCTGCATTTCCATCTTCTGATACGTTTCCTGCAGCTGTTGCCCCTCCTGAAGGACCTGTCCTTTAGTGCTTTGTCTCTTAGTGCTGAACCAGTTCCTGCTCAGCTCCAACTTCCATTATGTCTCCCAAGTTCTGTCCCATGGTCTCATTTTCCAGCCCTGCCCTGTCCTGACGACCCCCCCCCCCCCCCCCCCACAATATGGTCCTATTCTTGCTGTTTCCTCTCAGCCCAACAAGCACTCCCAGCTTAGGCCTTCATAGAGCCTTCTCTGTTCTTGTCACCATCTCACCCTGTGCCGCTTCCACTCCCATTCTTTCCTTGTTACCACTGGGCCCTCACACTGAAACCGCTTTCTAATTAGTGCTCCCACAACAGCAGTCTTCATTTGTTCTCCCCTTCAATCTCTGCTCCTCTCTGCCCAATGGCTTTTCAATTCCACTTTTCCTCACTTTGCCCTGACCTGTCTGCTCTCTGTGAGTTAATCTTGCAGTCTGGCCAGCCTGCACTGTGCCAGAGCTTTCTCTGTGCCAGAGAAAGCACAGGAGTCTAACTGCTCCCCACAGACCTATGTAAGTAGCCTGCACTGCAGTGCCTGGTCATCAGACTGGTTCTTGTGCTAGTCAAGGCCTTCTGCCTGCTTCTCCCCAAATCTTTGTTCATTCTAAACCCTCACCCATTTTTGTAGGACTTATACTCTCTACCCCCTTTGACTGAGTAGGGGAAAGGTGGTGGTGAGAAAAGAAGAGGAGAGTGTATTCATTCTGAGAGTTCCCAGCAGAAGTCACTCTACTCCCCAAGTTCTCCCAGAACAAAGCACAAGGAAGAAGATTACAGAATGTGGGGGCTTAGAGAGAGTATAATTTCTTCTTCTCTGAAGATCTCTTACAGAGAGACCCCCAATCTGGGGATAACAATTTCTGTGGAGACTGAAATTATGGTTCATTTAGAACTGAAGTTGCTACTTACCTGTATTAATACTACTTGGTGGTGCCATTCATAAGCAAACATGAGAAATGTTTAGTGCACAGAAGTTTAGTTTGCATGGGCAGGCCACAGAAGCCTGGAAGCAAGCTATGAGGCAATATCAGGAACTCTGTTGAGGCCTGTCCTTGTCCCACTTACATCTGCTTCTCCACTTAGTTTCTACTTATGGATCAACCAATCAAAAGGCATTCACTGAATAACTATTATGGCTACCAGAAACGGAGGCTACCCGGACTCTGTCTTAACTCACAATGGCTCTCTTATTCATATGGACTCTAGATGCCGCAGTGAGCAATGGACTGAGTGTAGGAATTTGAAAGTATTCCTCTGCCCTTCTTCACCCCAGCTCTATAAAGTTTTGGCCATGAAGGATTTCTACCCATTCTAAACTCTTCTTAGTATAACAAAATTATAGGAAGTAAATTGTTTGGATTTAGAAGTATCTAGCTGGAAAGAAATCTGTTTCCTCAGTCAGGATGGGATCACAAAAAGCTTGTTATAGGCCAGTTTCAGTTGCAAATTGTTTCTTCATAAAACTTCCTCATACTTCTTATGATAAATTCCCCCACTCTGTTAGTAGCTAACCACTCTGGACCTGTTTGTCACAGAAATTGTGTGACAACCCTCCTGGACACTCCCAAAACTTGGCTTCCCAGTGATACAGGAAGATTGCCCCTGCCTATCCCCACTCCCACTCCTGGGTCCAAGGCTCAGAGTCTTGCACTCTCAAATTGAGATAAGGACTGAAAAATTGGTGATCATTTAAAATTTTTTTTAATTAATTATTTTTTCAACTATATTTGTCTCTGCCTTCCCCCCACCACTTTCCCTTGCCCCCTCCCTCCCTCCCACCCTCCCTCAACTCTACCCCTTTGGTTTTGTCCATAAGTCCTTGGTCTATGTTCCTTGACTTTCCCCCTTCCTTCCTTCATTTTAAAATTAATCTCAGTTATCCAAAATATAGAAAATTCAGCGAACAGACAGAAACCCAGCTTTTATAATCTCATTTTATTTTAGTCAAGTAGAGGATGACTTTGAGGGTGTCTTACACATTACCTTACTCTGCCTTTGTAAGAAATAAACCAGAAAATAGCTTTAAACAGTTGGAACTTAATTAGCTTAGAGAAATGTGAATTGCATTTAAAAAGTTGAGAGTCATCTCCTGGTTCCTTCAGGATAGCTTTCCTGTTTCCATACACCTGTCCTACAGTGGTAGCCACTCTTCCTCTACTGTTGGTGTGCTCCATCTTCAAGCTTAAAGGCACACAGCCAGAGATAAGGTGAAGCTGCAATTACTTTTTAATTTTAAAGGCACTCTAATTTTTTTTTGAGAGAGAGAGGAAGGGGGAGCGGAGAAAGAAACATCAGTTTTTGTTGTTTCACTTATTTATGCATTCATTGTTTTTCTTTTTTTTTTATCCTCACCTGAGGACATATTTATCAGTTTTAGAGAGAGAGGAAGAGAGAGGGAGAAACATTGATGTGAGAGAGAAATTTTGATCAGCTGCCTCCCATACACGCCCATACCAGGGATCAAACCTAAAACCTTTTGGTGTACGGGACAACACTTCAACCAACCGAGCCTCTCAGCCAGGGCCATTGGTTGATTCGTGTATGTGTTGTATGTGTCATGACTGGGGATCGAACCCACAACCTTGGCATGTCAGGAGGACACTTGAACCAACTGAGTTACCTGCCCAGGGCAGGACCTCTCATTATTTTTTTAGATTTCATTTATTCATTTTTGGAGAGAGGGGAAGGGAGGGACAAAGAAAAAGGGAGAAACATCGATGTGCGAGAGATACATCAATCAGTTGCCTTTTCCACTCCCCTGACTGGGGACCTGGCCCACAACCCAGGCATGTGCTCTGACTGGGAATTAAACCATTGACCTTTTGGTTCACAGGCCAGCACTCAATCCACTGAGCCACACCAGCCAGGGACCCTCTAACATTAGCTGCATATATACAAAGTTTATTCTTGTATTTGAGTCTGCTGGTAATTGCTCCCTTGAGACTGTGATGATAATCCAGTGCCTGTTTTCCAAGGTGTTGGGCGAGCAATGAATGGACTGGATCTTGAAATTTAGAAATGTCTCTCTGTCTTTTTCCACTGTAGCTCTACAGAGGTTTGGTCATGAAGAATTTCCACCTATTTTAAATTCTTCTTAGTATAACAAAATTGTAGGAAATAAATCAGGTGGATTTAGAACTATCTAGCTATAAAGAAAAGTGTCTATTTTGCTTGGAAACACCTTTACCATCTGTACAGCCTGGCTGTTGAGCATTGGCGATTATGAGCAAGATCCCTTCCTTCCACTCCCCTGTATGGAGAATTATGAATCCAGGAACAACCAAAATGTGCCCAGCAAGGCTAGAAAGGACGGGGATTGGAACTATCATTTATTGTTTACCTGCTAGGTGACAGACATAGTGTTAGGTGCTTTATATGATGTTATATCATTAAGGAACTGATATTCAGAGAAGTTGTTACATGTCTAAATTCACAACGACAGAAAATGTTTGAATTGGGATTTTAAATGGAGGACTTCACATTGAGGTCGGCTCATGGCACTTTCCTGTGCTGGAGGCATAGTTCTAGCTCTCTGCTTTTTCTGAGGGTGATCTGTCACCCAAGAGACCTTGGATTATGTGTTCTTACATCTCATTCTATTGGTATGTGGAGGAGTCATTTCGCTTATTTTGCCCTTTGAGAATTGACCTGTATGGAGACTCTTCATGCAAAAAAGTAGCATCTTTGAGTGGGTGGCTCTGCCCTGGAGGCAGTCCTAGACTGTTTATTTGGAAATAAGTAAAATATCTTCCATACTCTGTAGTAGTGTGGTCTGGTGGTAAGAACTAGGATTGGGCATCAGGTGGCCTGGGTTTTAATCTCAATTTTCTCACCATTTTGTTGTGGGTGTCTGCACAGTTATTTAATCCCCGTGTACTTCAGTTACTTATTCTGTCAAATAGATAAAATAATATCAGCCCTAACTACTTTCCAGGAATGTTGAGAGGCTAATTGAAACAGCACTTGAAAGGGCTATGAATACTGGAGTCCTACCTCAGAATCCATCTACCCTAGATAATTTTATGATTGTGACATTTAAAATCTTTCCTGTTTTTGATGAATAATTTGCCATGGTTATGTAAACAGTATTTGAAAATGACTTATTTGGCTTTTATTGATCCTATATTTTTATACCTTCTCCCATAGCCTCTTTCTTGTTGAGATTACAACTCAATGTGCAACCACTAATCCCCTATCAGTTCCTGTTTTGTTATAAGGATGCCATACACTTGTATAGCTCTTGACAGTTTACAGAGAGATCTTATATATATTAGTTCATTTAATACTCACAACATGATAAGGTAGTTATTTTCCACATTTTATAGATGAGGAAACAGGTTACAGGTGTTTAATGGCTTATTCTAGATCTCATAGCTGAGAAAGAAACTGAATCAGTCCCTGAACTGAGACCTGCTGACAAAATTTCTCTGGGGTCCTTTTCACCATACCACAAATTTTTGTATCCTTCTTCCTTCTCTTCCCTTCCCTTCCTCTTCCCCTTCCCCTTCCCCTTTCCCTTTCCCTTTCCCCTTCCCTTCCCTTCTCTTTCCCTTCCCTTCCTTTCCTTTCCCTTCCCTTCCCTTTCCCTTCCCCTTTCCCTTCCCTTCCCTTTCCCTTTTCCCTTCCCTTCCCTTCCCTTCCCTGGCTTTTCTATGATTTCAGCTCTGGGTGTTTTCAAACAGCTCCCTCTTTTACATCCTGTGATACTTCAATTGTTGTAATTATCCTGCCACCTGAAAAAGTCAAGCAGGAGTGATAGAACAATATATGCCCAGGTGTGGCTTTTGTCTGGGACAGCTGCTCCCTGCCAGGAAAAGAGGAGGGCAGGAAGGAAGTAGAAGGAGAGAGGCCTCTCACTGCTTCCTCAAACCTAGCTAGAGACCTGTATTTGCTGTTTGGTTGTTGCCATGAAAGGGAAGAGCAACTAGGTAATGGGCAAAGATATGAGATGGGAAAACAGAAACTCTGCTTCTCCTCCCAGTTCTGAGGCCCAAAGCCAATGTATAGAGATAGTATAACTAGGTATTTGGATTCCTGACTGTGACCTGAAGCTAGGTGCCTTGACTTCTCAAATATCTGAAGACAAAAAGCAGAGCAGCATGGAAAGCTTAGAGAGAATGTGAGTACAATCAAGAGTGGTCAGTTTGGTTCAGCTTGCTCCAGCAACACCTAGAGAACAAAAGGGAAAGGAGTCATGGCTGGGACTGCTCTGTGGCTGTGCATCTAACAACAATAATCATAACAATTATTTAAAAAGCATTTGAAATACTCTGCATCCAGCACTCAAAACTGATTTTTAATTCAGTAGTCCAAGCATCTTTTGGCCCAGGGTTAGCAATAACCAGAAGTGGTTCTCAGTAGCATATGAGTTGGTGATTATTTAATTCATCCACCTAAGAAGGACTACATGACCTAAACTGAGTGACTTGTGGAACATTGAAAGGACCTCAGAGATGTCCTTTTCCTCTTGCTTGGCATCTTCTTAACCATCTCCATTTTTTCTTTCTCCACTCCACCCTCACCTAATTCACACAATTTATGGCTTTGGACCAGGTGGAGAGATGGAACCGCCGTGATCAGAAACTGCTGGAGGCAGTGCAACAAGGGGATGTGGGACGCGTGGCTGTCCTGGCTTCCAGAAAGTCTGCCCGACCCACCAAGCTAGACTCGAACGGCCAGTCCCCGTAAGTCTTCCTGACCCCACCTTTAGTGTGTGGTTCCCTTTGGAAGCTCCAAACCCCAATATGATGTAGGACCAGGGAATGCCTACAACTTGAGAGCCGTTTTTGTCTTAATAAATCTTTGCTACATATCAAGTGCTGCACAAAATGAGGGAAGAATGTATTGTCCTTGAGCTCCATCTACCTCACAACTCAGATCAAAACAATTGACCAAAAAAGGACAAAAATCCCATGAAACAAACAGAAAGCTGATATATACACTAAATAGACTATTTCTTCATTGCACAAAGAGGTGTGTGTGCTTGGAAAATTCAGAATGAAGTGGTAGCCATGAGAGTAACATGGCTAGAAGGAATGAGTAGGATAAGAGGGATGTTACCCCTTGTCTCTGCCTAAGCCAGCCTTCACATGTTCATCCCTCTGCTCTGGTCTGGCTGACTCTTTCTGTGACATTTTCCAGTCTGGTAAGGTTCCTGCAATAATAGTCTGAGACTGCTTGAGACCTGTAGCTCTTATTTCTATATTTATTTCCAGCTTCCTCTGACTTTATGACAGTAGGCCATATAGCCTTGTCTTTTTCAGAAAGTCAGGTCAGGGGAGTTCCCTTTCTGCTTTTGAGATTGGCTTTGGGGTTAGGGAGCGTAGCAGGCAGTGATTATTAAGACCCTCCCATTCCTTATCCCCTGATCCCTTCATCATTCCACCTTGATTCTGGCAGGTTTCATCTGGCAGCCTCCAGAGGCCTGACAGAATGTTTGACTATACTGCTTGCAAATGGGGCTGACATCAATAACAAGAATGAGGATGGTGAGTTAGACTGAGCACTGTTATGCTGTTTGCCTCTTCCTCTACAACAGCAGTGGGGGCCAGTGTTGGGCCCTGCTGGAGGTTCCAACTGCAGCCTCCTGCTTCTCTCCTCATAAGTTCTGGCCGGGATGCTTCCAGAGGTTCCCCGACCTGCAAGCTGGGTGTGCTTTCACCCACCTCCCACCTCCACCAAAGGTACTAGGCACTTGGAGAACAGGAATTTCTGGCCCTATATGGCTGAGAGCTTCTCTCTCTAATTTCCCTCTGATTATCTGTGCATCTCTTGCCTTCCCTCCCTGTGAGTCATTGGCATGCACGGTGCCACCTGCCTCCCTCACCCCCTCTTTCTCTTTCCAGGAAGCACCGCCCTACACTTGGCTACCATCTCCTGCCAGCCACAATGTGTGAAGGTTCTGCTCCAGGTAAGAACAGCCCCTTGATACTACACCTGTGAAGGGAAGAAACGGACCCAGCATTTCTTTGTCTTGAAGTCACAAGCAATATTTGATCAAATATACCCATCTCATCCCCAATATGAGAGTTTGTAAGAATTTATTCATTAATTCACAACATTTATTTAACATCTACTATGTGCAGGCACCACACTTAATGCTGCCCTTGAGAGCAGGTCATAAAGTAGAGTTGCCAATCAATATGCATATATTGAGCACTGCCATTGGCAGAGCCTCTTCAAAGACTAACTGCTGTGATGGTGATGGGGGGTGGGGCAGAAGGAGAACAGAGATTTTCAAATTAAAACAAAATCCTACTGTCTGTTTTTGAGGTATGTGTAGTCTAGGCACACAAAGAGAAATATAAATGTGAAATGACATGTAGAAACTTTATAAATAAGTCTCCAAAAGTATAAAAGGCACAGTTCAATAGACCATTGGGTGAATGGCTGTTCTGCTTTTGTTCTTCCCAGGCCTTTCCAAGTTTCCTAATTATGATCCAAAAGTACAAGTCATGGACTCAGGTGTTATTTTTCCCTAGTACATTTATTTATCTATAATCTGATTTTTCTTAGGCCCTAGGTTTAACAACCAGGGTTGAAATTCAGGGCTGCCTACTATCCCTATCCCCCAAAAAAGTGTATTGCACTTGCCTTGCAGTTGAACAAAGCCATGGTCCTCCCACCCCTCCCCATGGTAATATGGAAGTTGGAGACCCAACAGTGGGTATGGGATGAGATTGTTAACACCATGTTCCATGCTGTTTCCCTTTGTGGCTCTTTACAGCATGGTGCCAACGAAGATGCTGTGGATGCAGAAAATCGTAGTCCATTGCACTGGGCAGGTGCGTGCCAGAGGGCTGGTGGGAAATAGGGCTGCAGGGACCATAGGGTAGGAAGGAGGGGATGACACCATTCAGTGGAAAGGGCAGGGCTGATTACTAAAATGGTCAGAGGGGATGTTGGGTCATGGTCTGACTAGATGTACTTCCTGATTCCCCTTAACCTAATCATCCTTCAACCCTCCCCAGCCTCCTCTGGCTGTGCCTCAAGTGTGCTCCTGCTATGTGACCATGAAGCTTTTTTGGATGTCCTAGATAATGTGAGTATCAGCTGGACCACTGGGAAGTGTTCTACACAGGGAGGCTGTTGCTCTCTATAAGCTTGATTGGCCAAGTTCTATGACTAGATGTTGTGCAGTACCATCTCCTCTTTCTCCTTCCCAACTCCCCCTGCTCCTCCTCCACTTCCTCACAGAGAAGTTAACTCTTATCTTCTGGACAGCTTCTAACCCTTAGAAAAGGAACATTTAGCCCCAAGACTGGGAATTCTTTTTCTGAATAGATGTGGGGAGAGGGGAGCTGGTAGGATTGTATCAAACCCCTGGCTTCCCTGGCTTCTCATGAACCCTCTTTCTACAACCTGTGCAGGATGGACGTACACCCTTGATGATTGCCTCACTGGGTGGTCATGCAGCTATCTGCTCACAGTTACTGCAGAGAGGTGCCCGAGTTAATGTCACGGACAAGGATGACAAGTGAGCCTTCCTCGTCTTTTCACCCCAAATCCAGACCCTGACCAATCTAGGAAGGTGCCACTGGGCAAAGTGTGTGTGTGTGTGTGTGTGTGAAGACAAGTTGGTCTCTGTGTTCTTGGTTTCCTTTCTTCTGAGAGATGGTTTACAGGAACTCTGCCAACTGCTTCACTGTTTTTCTCTTGGGAAGTTGAGAAAGTTTTTCTTATACTTTTTATTCAGCTGCTGCCAGCCCCATCTTCTTAATGTAGGTGACTCTGGAAGTAGAATCAATACCTCTGGATGCATAGTTTAATTTACTGGTTTTTAAACTATTTTTTAAGCAATGGAATCCTTTTTTTCTGATAAAGAATTTATGCACAAGCTTAATATATAAAACAGAGGAAAATAAATCTCTTTCAATTGGCCCCCTGCTTTCTGATGCTTCAGCTCCAAGGAATAGCATTTGAAAAGTTCTGGTCTGGCCTAATGGTTTGTCATTGGCTGGTGTTGGTCTCTGTTTCCCCTGCCCACACTGAATGAGGATTTCTGGAACCAAGACTCTCCAATTCCAGAGGAAAAGCCTATCCTCAGATTTGACCTAACCCACAGATCGGCTCTTATCCTGGCCTGTGAGAAAGGCAGCGCTGAAGTGGCTGAATTGCTTCTGAGTCATGGAGCTGATGTGAGAGCAGTGGATAGTATGGGGCATGATGCCCTGTATTATGCTCTCCGAACACAAGACAAGGCACTGTGGAAGCTGCTACAGCAAGCCCTGAACTGGCAGAGAGGAGGTAAAGCCAGTTCCCTGTTGTAACTTCAAGATTTTCCTTTATAGCTCAAAGCTTTTTAGAATCCCATTTATTTCCATGGCAATAACGAATCTGACACATAATTGTCACTTTAATCAAGTGTTTACTTATTTATTGCTGCTGCTATGAGATGACCCCAAATTCCCAAAAGCATGGTCACAAAGTTCTTTAATGAAGCCTTGTCTCTCACTATAGGCAACTCTGGCTAGTACTATCACTAGCATTTCTGAATTATAAATGTATATCTCTTTGTGTGGTTTCCTGGTCAATCTCTCTCTCCTCTACTAGACCATAAACGCCTCAGATGATAGGCCATTTCTGTTTTGCTTACCACTGAGGTCCTGGTGCTTATAGCAGTGCCTGGCACAGTGTCCAATAAAGTAAGAACAAAATGAATGAGCTGGCACATCTCTAGGATAGGGAATCAAGGTTGCTGGATTGCAGAGGGGTGGTTCCCAGCTCCAGGAAGGTATGTGTGGCAAGGGTTATGACACGGAAGGGCCACTCCTCTCAGTGAGTCTGAAGCAAGAATGTAGGCTAGAAACACATGGGACCTGTCTCTGCTCTCATTTTCCTTATGTATTTTCATATAGATCAGAAGCTAGTTCAACACCCAGATGTTGCATCTAAGGTAAGACCCTAAGTGCCTCCCCTTCTGACCCACTGCAGGCCATCCCACTGGGATATCTTCCAGGAAGTGACCCATGGGGGTATCAAGACAGTCTAAAAGAAGAAAGGCCCTCCTGGGTCTAGGATAGCTTCCAGGCTTTACTTCACTGTCTGTTTTCTACATAGGCCTCTCCATCTGAGCCTCAGGTGGGTTCTCTACCTAAGAGTTCTTGGAGAGGAGAGCTCAAGGAGCAGCAGAAAGAAGAGAATCATGGAGATGCATGCTCAGAGGAATGGAGGTGGAAATATGAAGAGGAGCAGAGGAAAGTTTCTCAGTTGGAGCAGGAGCTGGTACAAAAGACAGAAGAATGTAAGGCTCAAGCTGCAGCCTACCTGGGCTTGGAGAACAAGATTCGAGGACATGTGCAGGAGCTGGGGCTCCTCCTGGCCCAAGAGCTCACAGCTCCAGAAGGGCAGAGTTCTAGTATGCATCCTGGAGAAGATGGCATGGAGCAGGGTTGTCTCCTGGACCTGCTGGCTGAGCACATACAAGAGCTAAAGAAGCAGCAGCAGGCAGTAGCCACAGCCACAGCTGCAGCCACAGCCAACCCAGTATTAGCTTCCAAGAAGATTGAGGATTCAGTGTCAGGGGAGATCTATTATGATGACCATGCTAGGTCCCAGCCAGAACAGGGGCCACCCCAGAGCCCAATGTCTGAGATCATGGGCAGTGCCACAGGACAGCAACTGATCACTAACAGTGGACAGCCCTTTGGCCCTGATCATACTAACCGGCTGCATGCTGGCCAGGAGAGTTCACAGGCCCCAGGGGCTGAACCAATAGACACAGTGGCTCAATCAGTGGGTACAGCAGCCATGAACCAGCTCCTGCAACAACTGAGGGAGGAGCTGGCTGCTGTGTGGCGAGAAAAGGATGCTGCCCTGGGGGCTTTGTCAAGACCTGTTCTAGAGGGAGCTCTGGGGACACCCCGGGTTGAGGCTGCAGCAGCTGCCTGGGAGAAGATGGAGGCCAGGTTGGAACAGGTGCTGGTGAGGCTGGATCGGGCAAAGGCAGGACTACAGGGGAAACCTGTGGCCCCTGCTCAGGAGCCCAGAGAAGGAGCACAAAACACAGGCTCAGAAACCATCACCAAAAAGGATGAAGGGAGGGAGAAAAGGGCTCCTGGGGCCCAGGTGGAGGCTCTAATGGCCCCTGCCAGGGAACAGTTGCCTGGAGGAGGACTGGCAAAGGGACCACTGGAGAAGGAGGTGTCAGCACTGAGACAGAGTAACAATTGCTTGCTAGAGGAGTTGAGGGATCTGGGGCGGGAGCGGCAGCGGTTGCAAGGGGAGCTGCAGTCCCTGAGCCAGCGATTGCAGCGGGAGTTCGTGCCCAAGCCTGAGGCTCAGGTCCAGCTCCAGCAGTTGCAGCAGAGTGTGAAGCTGCTGACAGATGAACTGGCCTTGGAGAAGGAGGCCACCGAGAAGTTGCGGAAGCGCCTGGTCTCCCAGAGCAGTGGCCTCCGAGGGCTTTGGGACTGCCTGCCCCCAGAGTTGGTGGGCAAAGGGGGTGCCTGGGACACAGGTACTGAGTCACTTGAGGAGTTGCGGGCCCACATCAGCACCCTGGTAGCCAGGCATCGCGAGGCCCAGCAGACGCTGTCTAGGCTGGAGGAGGAAAACCAGCGGCTGCAGCTGTGGGGACCCTCTGCCCCACATGGAGAACCAGGCACCTCCTCAAATGTTCCAGCATCCCCAGAAGTGGCTGCTTTAGAGCAAGACCTCAGGAAGCTGGAGGAAGAGCTCGGGGCTGTTCAGGCCACAATGAGTGGGAAGAGCCAGGAGATCAGGAAGCTGAAGAAGCTGCTCTACCAGGCAACAGAGGAAGTGGCTGAGCTGAGGGCCCGGGAGGCAGCCAGCCTGCGGCAGCATGAGAAAACTCGGGGCTCGCTGGTGGCCCAGACCCAAGCTTGGGGTCAGGAGCTAAAGGCTCTGCTAGAAAAATACAACACCGCTTGCGAGGAAATGGGCCGGCTGCAGGAGTCTGTGGCCAAGGAGCGCCGCAGGAGTGGGGATCTGGCTGCCAGGGCCACAGAGCAGGAGCGCCAGGCCAGCGAGATGCGTGGGCGCTCAAAACAGTTTGAGAAAACAGTGGAGCTGCTGAAAGAGAAGATGGAGCATCTTTTGGGGACTTGCCAGGACAAGGAGGCCAAGGTGATCAGATCAGGTGGTGGTGGGGAGCAGTGGGGAATGTTTCTGTGAGTTTAGGGGTTTGCTAACCTGCATTGGTACCTGCCCCTCCTTCCACACCCTAAACAAAATGTCAATTATCATTATTTCTTAAAGATTTTATTTATTTATTTTTAGAGAGAGGGAAAGGGAGGGAAAAAGAGGGAGAGAAGCATCAGTGTGTGGTTGCCTCTCGTACACCCCTCTACCTGGGACCCAGCCAACAACCCAGGCAGGCATGTGCCCTGACTGGGAATCAAACTGGTGATCCTTTGGTTTTCAGGCTGGCACTCAATCCACTGAGCCACACCAGCCAGAGCATGAATGCCAATTATTAGCAAGTTGTCTGGGTCTGAGGTGGTTTAGGGTTAAGATTGGAGGTAAGGTATAAATAGAAGAGAGAAGGGGACTTAGGTATTAAAATTTGGGACGCTGGGTTCAGAAGCACTGTGATCAGGGCTACCACCCATGGAATACTATGGTTATTAGCATTTTGACTTAAATTCTGTTTATTACCCTGAGAACAGGTCTGATAATATGGTGGGTTGCTGTGGTTTTGCTAGGGTTCTGAGGAGGTGACTCAAAGGCTGACTGATTAAGAAAAGTAGACTAGGCCCTAGCTGGTGTGGCTCAGTGGATCGAGCACCAGCCTGTGAACCAAAGGGTTGCTGGTTCAATTCCCAGTGTAGGGCACGTGCCTGGGTTGTGGGCCGGGTCCCTAGCAAGGGGGGCGGGAAATGCAACCACACCTTGATGTTTCTCTCCCTCTCTTTCTCCCTCTCTTGCCCTCTCTAAAAATAAAGAAATAAAATCTTAAAAAAAGAAAAGGAAAGTAGACTAGGCTAAAGGTCAACTTCTCCTGTCCCACTTCAATTAGAGTGGGTTCTACAGAAGATCTCTATTGCCAAAGAGCACCAATGCAAAGAAAAGAAATTAGAAAATCGCCATGTGAGATGCACGAGTTTCCTAAAGAAATCAATTTGCAAGTGAATTTAGTAATTCTAGAATGTTATGAAATGAATTCAGAATTCTTATTCAAATTTGTGTACATGATCAAATTTAGAATGATTAAAAATGTGGGGAGCATATGTTTTACATAATATAGAGTGCATAAAAATAGAAGGAATGTTGCACAGAAGAGGAATCAGTATGGGGTGGGGCAAATTAAAGAAAGCAAGAATTTTGTGTTGGTGTTGAAGGAGAAGAGGAAAGAGATCAGATGAGCAAAAGAATATAGTGTAGTGGAGGTTGGACTGAGATCGTCTAGATTTTTATTTCAGGTTCAAAACTTACTGATTAACCGTGGGTGAGTTATCTAAGCCTCCAAGTCTACAACCCTTAGTTTTTTCATCTATAAGATGAGGCTAATAATAAGGTTTTTGTGATGGTTACATTACATAAGATTTTATTTAAAATACTCAATAACTTCTTGAAAATTTTAATTAGTATTCAATCACAGCTATTTTTATTATTCTTACTACCACCATTCCTATTACTGCTGGTTATCATTAACCACATTTGTTGAGTAGCCTCACGAACTCATGTCCATTTTGCTCAGTGATCAGCAGCCAGAAGTAGGTCAGGATCCAGAATAGAGTTAACGAGCATAGTAGACCATGAATTCAAAGGGATCTTGGTTCAAGTGTTAGGCCATCACTTATTAACTGTATGATTTTTGACAAATTAACTTAACTCAGGCTCCTTGTCTACAAAATGTGAATAATACTTCTTCCAGAGAAGTATTTTTCTTCTCAGAAGTACAGCTGTTTTGAGTATTAAATAAGATAAGATATGTAAAAGTATCTGGCACATATTACATAAAAGGAAGCTGACTTTGACCCTGGGTAGTGGTGGGGTGGGTGGGAAATGAATTGGGCCTCATTGGTTCCCTCTGGCTTTAGATCAAGGAATTGTTGAAGAAGCTGGAACAGCTTTCAGAGGAAGTCCTAGCAGTTCGAGGAGAAAATACTCGCCTTGTCCTGAAGCTGCAGGTATGTTTTGGCTCTCAGGGAAATGGACAGAGCTGGAGAAGAGGGTGGGCAGTGGAAATGATGTATATGTAAGAGAGATCCTAGGAATTGCAGAGACCTGTTCAGACAGTGGTCCAGGCTGGGCCAGTGATGGGCCAGGGAGACTATCTGGCCCAGCTGACCCCTTAATTTTATTGTTTCTCATGCTTGGAGTGTCAGGGTGAGTATGGGATGGTAGGCATATAACTACTCATTGATGTTTACTCCCAGGATTCCCAGAAGAACCACGAAGAGATCATCTCTACCTATAGGAACCATCTGCTGAATGCTGCTCAGGTGAGCATGGGGGGAGGGAGAGACAGAAAGTTGGTCAGGGGGTGTTGCATTTGGGTCCCTTCTCTTACCTGCACATATTTATCATTTTTTGGAAAGCTAGACTTTAGGTGTTCCAGTTTCAGGTCTCTGGATCTCATAAGGAAGAGCAAGAGAAATTGCACTTGAATAAGTGGAGAGAGAGATGTTTGTCCCTCCTTTTCAATTCTCTGATCCACTGTAAAGCCTTTTCCCATCCCTTATTCCCTTTCTCAGTTCCCTCCTGAGCCAAATGATCCCTCACCAAGGAAGATGAGGTGGGTGACTTGCTCCTCTATTAGGAATAATAATAACTACAAAGAATCAAACTATCAAACTCTTATTGTGTACCAGGTGCTTTGCTTTAGATTCAGAGTTGTAACCCTCACAGCAATCCTGAAGAATAAACATTATCTTCTTTGAAAAGATTAGGAGCTCTGGCTGATGTGGGTCAGTGGGTTGGGTGTCATCCTGCTAACTGAAGGGTTGCCAGTTTGATTCACTGTTGGGGCACATGCTTGAGTTGCAGGCCAGGTCCCTGTTTGGGGATGTGAGAGGGGCAGCCAACTGATGTTTCTCAAGCATCATCAAAGTTTTTCTCCCTCCCTCCCTTCCCCACTCTCAAAGAGTCAATAAATAAAATCTGAAAGAAAGAAAAGAAAGAAATAATGGAATAAAGAAAAGAAAGGAAGGAAGGAAGAGAGAGAGAGAGAGAGAGAAGATTAAAAAACAGCCATGAAGGAGTTAAATATTGTGAGGGCTCATAGTTAGAAAACAGCATTCCACCATACTGCAGTCTCTCCCTCACCTGTCTTTCCCGAGATTTTCTATTCTTCATCTCCCTTTATTCCTTTCCTGCCATCCACAGGGCTACATGGACCAAGATGTATACAGTATCCTATTGCGAATCCTCAACATGCAGGAGGAGTGAGGCAGCATGGCCCTGAAGGGTCTGGGATTCCTCCCTTGTGAGTTGTGAACTGAGTCAGACAAGGGAGGGAGCTTGGAGCAAGGACTTGGGAAAGGTGGCTTAAGAATGGGAATTGGAATCTCCTTTTGCCCCAAGTGGTAGCTGACATTGGAGAGTCCTGTGAGCCATAGAACATTTGAAGTGAGTTTAATTGAGAAGTCACAATCTGGGAAATCACTGGGTGGAATTAGGAATCAGTGAATAGGTAGACTAAAGAGGGCTGAGATGTGATGGTGACTGAAAAGATGAGTTGGGTGACACTTTTACAGTCTGGGATAGAGATACTAGTGAATGATGAGTTATGGTGGGATAGTGGTACAAAGTTGTTTCCTAGGGTGGGACTCTACAAACTCCAGAATCTCTCCTCCACTCCCACACCATTCATTCAATGAATAGTCTTCTCCTATTCTTCTCCCTACCCCTATGCCCATGGCCATCTTCTCCTGTCCAGATAGATGAGGATCCCTTTTAGCATCTTGGCATGGGTAGGAGAAGTCTGAAGATATAGAAGTGTGTGCATTTCATCCTTGAATTTCTTTTCAAGGAATAAGAGCATCCCTGGTTGCCACAGGCTCTATCAGGCTGTAGTGGATGGGGAGGTTATCCACTAGAGGTAGTGTGCGTGGAGCTTCAGCTAACATTATGGACCCCAGACCTGAGTACCTGAATCCTGGAATCGGCATGAATGAGACCAGGGAAGATAAGGTTGAAAGCCAGCTCTGTGGAAAATAAAGCAGGAGGCAATATAATACTGTTTGTTTTTGTTTACAGGGCATGGTGGGGGGTAGGGGGGAGGTAAGGAATTTGTTCTCATTTCTTTCTTTCTTTCTTTTTTTTTAAATAACAAGTGGCTTCATAAGCCGACAGCTTTCAAACTTTGCTTGTGATTGTCCTGGTGGTGTAGCTCAGTTGGTTAGAGCATCATCTTGATACGCTAAGGTTGTGGGTTCGATCCCTGGTCAGGGCACATACAAGAATCAACCAATGAGTGCATAAATAAGTGAAACAGCAAATCACTCTCTTTCTTTCGCTCTCTCTCCTCCTCTTCTCTCTCTAAAAAGAATCAACCAATGAATATATAAGTGGAACAACACATTGATGTTTCTCTGTCTCCCTTTCTGTCTCCTTTCTTCTCTTTAAAATCAGTAAAAAAGAAAAAAATGAATTATGATCCATAGTAAGAAATACATTTTACTGTATTTTGCCATGTATACTATGCACTTTTTTTGCCCAGCTTTTTGAGGGAAAAATAAGGATGTGCATTATACATGGGTAGTACCTGAAATATCTTATATCTGTTCATGTGTTTTGTAATTACTTGTACATAAAATTTCTTATACCATAATATGTTCAAAACAAATGCTAAAATTCCTTTATAATACAAAAAAAGCATCTGAATATAAATAGATTTAAAATTGAATTAAAAATTAAAACAAGTTTTTCCTGAGAGTTTAGGCCAAAAATGTGGGTGCTTAGTATACATGGCAAAATATGGTATATCCTATATGGACATACTTGAAATATGTCCTATTCTAGTCTATTCTCTGCTACTATAGTCCACCAGAAAATATTGATCAAAACACATCCACTAACGGGTCAAGGCCCACAGTTTGAAAACAGCCTTCTGTGAAAATGGGGATTGACACTCTTCTCTTTCACAAATTTGTCTGTTACTGACTAACTCAGCTCTAACCATTCTTCTTTACCTTGGGACTCCTGAGTCCACTATTTAAGGAGACATTGAGAGACATGGATTTTCTTTGAGATGTGCAATCTAAAATATTCTATCATGTGTTAAAACCATGTGTTTAGCCCTGGCTGGTGTGGCTCAGTGGATTGAGCACCCAACTGCAAAGCAAAGGGTCACCAGTTCAATTCCCAGCGAGGGCACATGCCTGGGTTGCGGGACAGGTCCCCAGTGGGGGTAGCATGAGGAGCAACTACACCTTGATGTTTCTCTTCCTCTCTTTCTTCTTCCCTTCCCCTCTTTCTAAAAATAAATAAAATAAAATAAAATAAACATTTGTTTAGATTTGAAGCACCTGGTCTCATGTGGTCAGTGTTCTTTGCCCCAGGAGCAAAGAGGGATGAAAAGTCTGATTCTAGGGAAAAGAATGAAGGGACACTCATAATTGGCTTTTTCCCTTCAGCTCAGTTCTCAGATTGAGAAATGTATTTCTTTCCTTCACCAAATTACAGAAGTTTTCTTTCATTATTTGTTTAAAATAGACTTCCAATTTCTTGCTTTTTCTCTTCTTCTGGTACCCCTATGATGCAAATGTTGGAGCGCTTGAAGTTATATCTGAGGCTGCTTATTCTATCCTTGTTTTTTTGGATTCTTTCTTTTTTCTTCTTGTTCTGATTGCTTGTTTTTTGCTTTCTTATGTTTCAAATCATTGATTTGATTCTCAGTTGTTTCCCTGTAAATTGTTCTTTATTTCAATTAGTGTATCCTTCATTTCTGACTGTATCTTTTTTATGCTGTTGAGGTTCCTTGAGCATCCTTATAACCAGTGTTTTGAATTCTGCATCTGACAGATTGCTTATCTCCATTTTGTCTGGTTCTTTTTCCAAGATTGTTCTACCCAGCAAAGCTATCATTTAGAATTGAAGGTCAGATAAAAAGCTTCCCAGACAAGAAAAAACTAAAGGAGTTCCTCATCACCAAACCATCATTATGTGAAATGTTAAAGGGACTTATTTAAGAAAAAGGAGATCAAATCTATGTACAAAAAAATGTCAATAAGTACATATCTATCAACAATTGAACCTAAAACACAAACTCAGCAACCAGAAAAAACAGAGACAGAATCATGGATACAGAAAGCATTTTTGATGGTTGCTATATGGGAGGAGGATGTGGTAAATGGGTGAAGAGGTGAGGGGACTAAGAAGTACAGAAAGGTAGTTGCAAAATAGTCATGGGGATGTAAAGTACAGTAGAGGAAATGGAGTAGCCAAAAAATTTATATGCATGATCCATGGATTTGAACAATGGTGTGGTGGTGCTTGAGGCAGTGGCAGGTGCTGGTTGGAGGGGAGCAAAGGGGGAAGAATTGGGACAACTGTAATTGTGTAATCAATAAAATATAATTAAAAAAATAAACAGCAGCCCTGGCTGGTGTGGCTCAGTGGATTGAGTGCTGGCCTGTGAACTGAAAGGTTGCCTGTTTGATTCCCAGTCAGGGTACATGCCTGGGTTGCAGGCCAGGTAGGTCCCTGGTGTGGGGGAAGGGACATGTGAGAGCCATTTAACCAGTCGATGCGTCTCTCGCACATTGATGTTTCTCTCCCTCTCTTTCTTCCTCCATTCCTAACAGTAAATAAAATCTGTTAAAATAAAATAAAATAAAAAGCAAAAAAAGTATCTCTCTTGGCCACTTCCCACGTATCTCCTCTCCTTCCTGTCTGTCCACCAGCCAGACTGCTAGGTGAGAGTGAGGCAGTGAAGCTCTCCAAAATCTGAAATTTCAGTTTGGTGGCCCACACATTGATCCCTCCCCATTCCTTCTCTCAGTCTGCCCCCTGCTGGGTTATGCTGGGTCAGCAGACAGTGGTTTGGCAGTAACCCCTGGGTTGAGAGAAGAGTAGGGAAGTCACACAAGGGCTGCAGAGCCTGGCATAGGGGTTTGGCCAGGAAACGCAGTGTAGATCAGGTCCTAGAGAAGATGAGGGTCAGCTCTGGGGTTTGTGTGAATGGGCTCAGGACTGCTTTAAGGTTGGGAGGATGGAGAAAGGGAGAAGGGGGTATAGCTGCCAAGAGGAAAAGCATCAAAAAGGTCCAAGTCATTTCTATTAAGAGGAAGGAAACTCTCTTCTCCTTCCTGTTTTCAGAATTACCAAAGAATATAAAAGAATTATTAGATTTCTTATTACATATAGGGTGTTGGGTGGGAAAAATGAAGAAACTGCTGAAAGAAGAGTCCAGAGAAAGGTATATCATTTGGCTAAGTTCGAGTATGGGTTAGGAAACAGCTTTGGTAATGGCAGCCAGGAATTTGGCTCCCTCTGGGGCTCCTGGGAGTTTATCCCAGGATAGCTGAGCTACTGGAATGGTCAGTGATATTATGGTTAACACAAAACTGGAAGCTTCTCCTCGTCTTCACAATCTCCCTCTATACAACCCCATAAACTGCTACCCCAACAACCCAGATCTTTCTCAGAGTAACTGTAGTCCTAATGTTCCCCCATTCTTCCTGGGCTCTCCATTTAATAGGGCTTCTGTAGGAGCTTATACTCCTGTTTCACTTCCCCCTCGTTCCCCCATCTTTGGATGTAGGAGTTTTATAGGTGAAGCTTGGTAGACCATGATAGGGTCCCAACTGTCTTTGAATGCCCTCAGTATGGAACTTGGTCCTTATTTGCAGTTTCCCTCCTTTGTCTGGTGACATTAATTAATTAAATTGATACTTAAAGAGTCTACAATGTACCAGGCACTGGGGATAGAGAGTGAACAGCACCAAAAAGTTCTTGTCCTCATGGAGCTTGCATACAGGATCAGATTCAGGTGTCCTGGTTCCTAGTTTTCTAGCATTCTGTAGGGATGCTAGAACTTACAACCTCAAGTGAACTATTAAAGGAGATCCCTCCTTTCTGAAATCACTAGGAATTAAGGTTAGGTTAATTTTCTCTTTTTTTTGTTTTATATTTTTACAGCTTTAATGATGTATAACTGACATACAATAAACTGCATGTATTTATAGAGTACAATATAATAAGTTTTGACATATGTATATGCCCATAAAATCATACAATCAAGGTAATAAATCTATCTGTCACTCCAAAGGAGTTCCCCTGTCTCTTCTTTTTAAATCCTCCCTATTCTCCTTCCCTTGAAATCACTGAAAATTCTAGAAGGTATGTTAGTCCATAGTAAGTTTTGATCTAGAACAAAAAATGAGCTCATGGCCTGATGAATACTCAAGTGTTAGAGTGAGTGGTTGGAATTAGGAACCAAATGC